TAAATTAAATATTAAATGACATTTCTAAATATAATATCTATAGATTAGTGATTATTACAATAATTCCCTAAATCAATAAAATTTTCTCTTTTAATTTATTGATGACAACAAGGACGCTGACATGTCACAATCAGCGATATATTAAAATTTCTTAATTAGAATAGAATTTCAGGTGCTTTTGTGTTGGTCATCATAGGTGCTTAATTTTAAATATAGGCGTGTGTGGTTTAAATTTATAAAATACGTTGCTCATAACATAGCTATTATGTATACATATATTATTGATTAGTTTATTGCTAGTTATTTCATTTTATAGCACCATAAAAACATCTCAATTAAATACTAACAGAAATAATTATAGTTTTTATTTCAAAATTTTATTAAATCAAAATTTTAGCAACTGAAACATTTTTACATTAATAAAAGTTGTTAATTAATAAGACCAAATTGGCTTGCATAAATATAGATTTTGTGCGTAATTACAGTGTTGAAATATTAAATAAAAATACAACACTTGACAATTTTAAAAATGTAGTTCAAAATAGTCTAAATTGTATTTCAAAAAGACAAAAACGTATTACTATTGATCTTTGGGTATTGGAACAAATGTAAAAAGTTTTAAAATTGACAGTAACAGTAATACTTGTAAATTTCTACTCTTGAGGAATTATAAAAAGAATCCAACTGCATGCAACTCTGTAGAGAATTTTATGTTGCATGTGCGATTGAAGGTAAAATATGATGCATTTATCAAAATAAATGTTAGTTTTTGAATTGTAAACTGTGATATAAAAACATTTTTAGTTTTCCAGGTTTCCGTACAAAACATGCAGTCCTTGATCTAGATTTTTGTCTTTCTATATATGTAAATCAATGATCGTTATGTTGTGAACAATTTTAATTATTACCTACACTCAATTCTGACGTACAATCCTACAATACATTTGATTTTTAATCGAAAAAAACTTTCTATAAAACGATAAATTTATTTATTTCTTAAGTGTTCATAAAATTCTTTTATACGCTCCATCGCTTTTACTTGATAACAGTTTAAAACGACGTCGTTTGACGTGGCATTGCAACATGTACAGGTTATTGGCGTTCGGAAAGTACCTTTCGTGCTTCCTTCTTCATCCCCCGAGGTTTTAGAAAGTCTGTAAGTTTTTGTTGTCCTATTAAACGAAAAAAGCTATGCTTTCTCCCTTTTTTCACCGAACAAAAACGGAACCGGCAGTTGAAATAAATTTGCTGATAAATATTTAATGAGCCTGAATTACGTATTTAAACTGAGGAAGTTCCTTGAAAGTCATATATTGGCTGCATTTATTATGGCACTTTTAAATTACATCAGAGACCACATCACTTATTCTAAACTCTACTTTACAATCATTCAACTGTGGTCTACAAAAATATAAACTTTAAAATTTAATGATAGAAAAAGTGGTTATAATTATTTATGTGCCAAGGGCATCATTGGATGTTTTTTGTAGCCACCGAGGACGACAGGTTTCTAAGGTCGAGGGCCTCCAGTACGAGGTTCTTGTAAATCACCCAAGGGCCATAGGTATCAAATAATGCCCATGGCAAGTTCAATGTTTTTGTTTCTAATTTTTAGTAAGCATGTAGGTAAAACTAGGTGTTTACGGCAAAGTTGTAACTGTTTAATGCTATCTTTTAAGGAATACTAAAATTTCACTACCATTCAATCTTTTTAGAATGTTTGTTTTTGTAAAATTGTGAAATGATAATTTTTAGTACTGTTTTGGAGTAAACTCGTGATAGACAGGCAAAAAAGTGTTTCCATCAGAATATTTTTATATGGCGAAAATCTTTCTAAGAACAGTGAAATTCTAAACTGCTAGCTCAACATGCAAGAAAAGCCAGCTCTTAATTTGAATATGTTATTCTTATTTTAATTTTAATTTTTAATTATTTGTATTTTAGGAATTGTTAGATCTTTTGTTTTAAGTTAGGTTTTCTAAAATCTTTTAGAGTGAAACATTAAAGTTCTAAATTGTGCTATTGCAAGATTAAATTTTTTCACTGCAAATATACTAAGTTAAAACAAATGGAAAAACTTAATTGTACGAAATTGGGCAAAAAAATGTAATTTTTATTGACAAGGATGACAATAATGTGAACTGCTTCAAATTTTTAAAAGCAAATCTATTAGGACTTGTCTTTAAGGCTGTTTGAATTAGTTACCAAGTAAATGTACTAACAGTCCCAGCTTGTCTGTGGTAAGCGGAGCGCAGGGGGGCACCAAGAAAGTGCTATTTTGTTTTTTTGCTTATATCCAGAAAACGGTGCGTGTTACGAAAAAATGGGTTTGTACATACCTACACCACGAAATTTAGGTACTTAGGTAGTTTTCTCAGATTTTTTGTATCCCAAATAGAAAATTCGATATATTTTTTATAAAAAAAGAACATTTATAAAATCTTTTATTACTAAGGCTGTTTAACAATTAATAACAATATGTGTCTGCAAGTTGCAAAAGTATTTTTGCGCAAGGCGTGCAAAACTATGGTGTACGAATATCAAGTGCGGTGGATAATTTAGTGAGTAACAGGTTACAATGCGTGTATTCCGTTATGAAGTATTTTCGGTTGACAAACGGCCTTTGCATTCCTGTACAGTATATTGGTATTGAACATTCCCGGTCACTAGACAGTAGCAGGGTATTGTGGAACAAATCCTTTCGATTATACTCTTGGCATACACAATCAAATATTTCCAGATGGTGCGTTCCAGAAATCCAGTTATATGTAAGATTAAATTAAATGCTAGTGTAAGATGTGTATCATGGGAGGCTTATAACAAGAAGTAGGATGATATTGCTACAAATGCGGCTGTTTCTATGACATCGCACGGCGTTGGGAGTTGAGAGAGCACTTCACGATTAATTTGGAGTCAGAATGATGTTATGGAATTTATTTAAATTGAATGCGAATTGTGTTATTGAGTTTTATGAATTTTCGCCCTTTACACAGTTTCAAATTGCTTCGAAAAAGGAAACAAAAAACTTTCCAATATAATCTAATTAGAGTGGTTTGTTTAAAAAATCACTTAAATCTAGATTTCCTCTGCATATTAAATTTTGTGAATACGAATAATAATTTATAATGAGTTAAATTGTCTGTCGCACACTTACGTTGCGTTGACGGTGGACATGTTCATAAAATAAAATCTTTTGTTATTTTTGACATAAAAGCGCCGATATGTCTACAAACATATGTTACATTGAGACCGTTTGGTGATTTATGGATTTGGTTTCTGTTTACGTATCCAATACCTGAGGCATTTCTTTAAAAATTTGGCTTGAATAGAAAGCAGAAAGTGTGGGTTCAAATAATAGTGTGACCATTTGTACCTACCACAATTTGTAACTTATATAAAAGTGAATACAAGCTTTACAAATTGAAGTTTATTTGGAAAAGCCAATTTCGCTATGGCAAATATTTAAAATTAATCTAATAATTTCAAATTGGGCGTAAATATTTAAGCATTATTGTATTATTAACACCAAAACATCTGGTGATGAAACTAAACGTATAGTTTTGAATTTATCTATTTGTTGCCTTTCTCTCGTAAATAAATAATAGATCTGGTTGCTGTTCTAGTGGTTTAATTAATTTATAAAATAACCTGTTGTAGTCTAGTTTTAGATTGTATTGTAACCCGAAAACTACAATGAAAAAAATATTTTTTTGTATACGCTCCCAAAAATAGCTATTTTGCGGACTCATTTGGGCAAATGGGCAAAAAGCAATTAATGAAAACTCATTATTATTTTTCTAATGAGACAAATCATTTTTTGATAATTATAATTGTTTTACAGAATAAACCAGTCATATCTTATTAATAAAACCGTTGTTTCTATAATTAAATGGTAAATTTTAAATTAACTTTAAATTAGCAAGTAGCACAAAACAAAATTAAGTGAATGAATTCTGAAACAGCATTTATCTCTGTAGATTATTATTTGTCACTTAATTATCATAGAAAAAAGAAACGTGAATAAGTAGGTCGTTATTAAAATAGAACTACATATATTTTAGTCGACACAAATACAACAAAATCAATTGAAAGAATCGTAAAAATAATGATTGTTGCTTTAATCATAAACTATCAAATATATCGATGTCGATGATGATTAAAAATAATTTGCGTTGATTGAATTTACTAAAAACTCATTTTCTTAGATTGTCGAAACGGTACCTTCAAAGACTCTAAATAATAGTAGTTTTGAACTCATATGCTGAATAGTGGTTAGCATTTTTTGGTAAAAAATGTGCTTTTAGAAATTAATTGGTAGAAATTTTAGTATTAATTGGTACAAAAATTAAAAAAAGTAAAAAAGTAAATCATTGTCAAGAATAAAATTTTTGTTTTCTGCCACTCTTTAAAAGGTTTTTCGCTAAAATTGAATTCTATGTAGATTTAGATAATTCTTCGATTGTAGTCTTTGTCGAAAATATTGTTTATAGTAGACTGCTATTCTTCTTATCATTCGTGAATTATTTTTTTAGTAAGTAAATTGATTAAACAAAATACGCTTGAGTTAACCCTTTACAACAGTTAACCAATATTTTGAATTGATTTTTACTTGCAATTATTCTAATAATTATACATTTTGTTTTGGTATGGTATAATTTAAGTAACGTTTAAAATTTTGGAAACCGCACACTTCGCACTTGTGTGCTCATAATAACCCTTTAGTTCTTGCTTTCAAGTGGCATTACGACCATCTGTGCGAAATAAGATTACTTTCAAAGCTTGGTAAGAACATAATGATAATATGATATGAAATATGATATAAATACTATGAAATATTATTGTTATTGTAGTGTAATTGAAATTAAGAAAATGTATGTTATATTTTGATTTTGATATTGATAGAGACGTATTCAATTTTGTAAGTTGAAATTTATAAAGTTCTACAAATATTTACTTGGGTCGTTGTAAAATACGTGTTATCAGTTAAATATTTCACTTACTTGTTTCGAAGGCTTCGTATAAATTCAGATAACTCAATGTTAAAGCTGTAAGAAACAGGAACCCAAACTCATTGGAAATCCACATTTTGATTCACTGGAGGTGACATGAACCTGAAATGTATAACACGTTAATATTAGATGTTGTGATTATTCTACCAAATGTATTGGTTCCTAAGCACATACCCTGAGGGAGTTGCTACCGTCTTCTGTACAGTAAGATAATTATTATGATATACTCCTTAACAAATATTCCTGTTGCTTTACTAAATAGAGCGGTGTTATTCAGCAAAGCACTAAGTTAACTAGTTTTCGAAATTGTCGAATAGTTTTGTGAATTTAAACCAATCTACGAATAACAAATTATTTATGTAAAATAAAATTCTGGTTAGTTTCAATTCCACTGAATGGGTTTTAGGTTGAAGGTGCTGTTATAAATGGTGCTGAGGTGAAAAGTTTATAGGTGTGTAATCGATGATTAAAATAAGGGTGCGTATTTTTTGTCTAGATTCCGCAAGGACAATAAATCGGGTTCAGGCCTGAAAAGGGGAATTTTATAGAGTTTCCAAAGTGCAGCGATGTTTTTGTTCTTGGAATAAATGACCTAATTACTGTAACGAATGTTTTAGAATGATTCCAATTTAGAGTTCGCGTGACCTATCGTCGAAAGCTTTCACATGTGATTTTTCGATTTCTAATCAATAAGGAGGGTGGTGTTACCGACACAAAACATTAATCGTGTCTCGTCTCAAAGCAAACTTGTTCATCCGAATATTTAATCCATTGTTTTCCCAGTTTCATCAAGAGAAATATCGGAAGCAGACGAATGAAGGATGTTAAAAGTTTGATAGAGCCGGAAGGCTGACCAAACGATGCAAGTTTAAAAGGGTTCTTGTATCACGTCGAAGACCACCAACTAGATGTCCATTAGGTCCGGTTTGCGCCGGAAAATACGGTCTTAAATATTTAGAGTTTTCTCTCTGTACGCGAGAAAAACGCAAACCACAAACAAAATCCTGCTGAATAAATTGCATGTGGCTGCAACGCTGCTCTTATGATTTCTATAATGAAACCGTAATTCAAAGCATCTCGCTGCTGTGATTAAGCTCAAGTTTACCAACTTCTAATTGCGAGGTTTTCGTTGGAAAATTGTTTTGAATTTTGACAGCCACTCATGTTAAAATAGAAACAAAATATCATCTGTCCAACTATAAAATAACTTTACTCGAGGGAGAAACTATTTCCTCACTTCTACAATATTCATATCTCTCATATACGTTGTATGTACGCTTACTATTAAAAGTTTAAAGTATTTAAGGAATGCTTATAATTACAATAATTTATAAATCATTTTTTATTTGAAAAGTGGCAACTTGGATAAACGTGATTTTACATCGATGTTTAAAAAAGATATAAATAGGTACGTATGAGTATGAAGCATGTGGATTATTGCAACAAGCTGAATTATAACTACCTTACAATATTAAATTAAAACACTCATAACCTACCAGCAGAAAAAATTTTGGTCAAATAAATGGTATATTTTGAGAAAAATTTATGAAATATTTGTTGATATACCCATATGCATGTGCAAAATTTTGTTTTGGAAAAAAGTTTAAAAAAAGTCAGGGTAAGAGTTTAAAATTTAACTAAATTTTATTTTACATTAAAGTATGTAAATTAAACCTATCTCAACAATAACGAATTAAATTAACATAAGGGGGGATTTTATCTACTCCACTTAAAGTTTAGGCTTTTGGGTTAGATATAAATAAAGATGCGCCTTTATCATTTTAATGGAAGGTAAATCTAAGTATCTATCAATAATACACAATATATCTAGATATGTTTTAAAAAATAATATTGTGTATGCTTTCGATAATGAATAAATTATGTTTTTTTTCACTACTAGCTGTAAAAGATACCATTATTTAGTTAGTCGAGAGGTACTAAAGTTGTTTTTCTCTCCTAGTAGTCAATAATCATTATAGACCAAGGGCTATAATGGATGATAGGTGAGTAAATTGCGATGTTGAGAGTACTAGATTGATACAAATATTTCTAGAATATTATTATTGAAAAATATTACTACCACAAGTACTAACGGAAGTAGGTATATGCAGGTGAAATTAATACAAAATCAAATAAAAAAAAAAACAAATTTCAACATCACCACAAGTACTAACGGAAGTATGTGGAGGGGAAATTAATGCAAAATCAAAAAAAAAAACAAATTTTAAAATTAAAAACATCAGAATAACCCTAACTCTAATGTTTCTGTCTACGTCAAAACTGTCAAAACTGTCAAAACAACAAATGGGTTTATTTCTTGTTAAAATACTATCAGTAGTGAGGTAGATTTTAATAATTTTTCCTTTTTCTTTCCAGTGTCTTTGTTATTTTAACAAATATTCCATATTACGAAATTTGAAAATTCCTTTGATAGTTGCAGAAGTACAAAAATGACATAACCTTATTTATGATAAGAAGAAAATAATACTTCCAACTTAATGTTTTAATCTAAGCATATTTTTTTGTTTCTGGTTTGATTTACTATTTTTCATTAAAATTTGAAATGCTTTTATAAATGAAACGTGATCTACACTAGAATTGTCATACTTGATATAAAAATTTCTTAATTACTAAGTTATAATTATACCAATTACACGACATACCAGGTGAATAAAAAGTATGGAACGAAGCGTTTTTCTCGTAAACTAACCACTTTACAAAAAAATAATTAGTGTAGCGTAAAGTCCAATTAAAATGTGACCATTTATCAAGAATAACATTTTTCGAAATTTCTTTTAGTTTTTGGGTTTTAGAAAAAAAAATTTTTTTTTAAATGGCAACCCACCATGATAATTTTTTTAATTAAAGATTATGATCAAAAATGACCTTTAATTAAATAAAATCGTTTTTTTAGCCAGTACTTTTTTTTAATTAATTGTTAAAGTTGCGTTCCGAGCTCATCACGAAGATTTTCCGAACTTAACCGAAGTGGTTGTTTCATGCTTTTCATCATGGGAGAGCGCTGATTTCTATGCAGGTGCTTTGGGGTGGTTTCGAATGGACTAAAAATAGAAGAAAATGATTTGTTTTTACATTTTTTGATCCATCCGGAACCACCTCAAAGCACCTGCACCAAAAACCGGGCTATCCAACGATCAAAGTCATGAAACGACTCCCTCGTTCAAGTTCGGAAAATCTTCGTGATGGGCTCGGAACGCAACTTTAACAATTTATTAAAAAAAAATACTGACTAGAAAACAATTCTGTTTAATTAGAGTTCATTTTTAGATCATAATCTTTAATTAAAAAAATTACCATAGTGGGTTGCCATTTAAAAAAAAATTTTTTTTCCAAAACTCGAAAACAAAAAAAAATTTCGAAAAATGTTATTCTTGATAAATGGTCACATTTTAATTGGACTTTACGCTACACTAATTATTTTTTTTTGTAAAGTGGTTAGTTTACGAGAAAAACGCTTCGTTCCATACTTTTTATTCACCTGGTATGTATTTTTAATATTCTCAATTTCAATGTGTTTCTAGGATCCAATAAATGTTATAGCAACCGGATGAGTATTGTGTAGATTTAGCTCAATTATAATATTGAGACTATCTGTAAACATAGATAGTCATAATTGTTATTGTATCGTTTTAATTTTGAAGATATTTAATTGTAACAAAATTGCAGAGTTATTAAGTGTCACTTCACAAAGTTTGATTTATTAGTTAGCATAAAACTGTGAGTTTAAGTTACATGTAGGTAGATGTAATTTAGATAAAACTTTCCGACGAAATTTATTCCAGGTACTTTCCAAGTACCTTCCAGCATACTTTTTAGTGAATGAGAAACTCTTATGATGTTTTTTGGCGTTTGGAAATATCTAAAAGTTCCCATGCGAATATTTGTCATTAATTTTAAACAAAATGAATAATTTATAGCTAACCAGCGCTCTCAAAAGGAGATTATCGATTTTTCATTTATATTCTTTGCGTACCTACATCTTTTTCTTGACGCGTTCTCGAGAGGCTGTTCCCTCTGAGAATCTCAAAGTGAGGTTAAATGGAAGAGTGTAAAATAGAAGGGGCGTCAACTAATTGAAACCGCAGGTCGAACGAGACCGTCTTTTATCCGGTTTATTTAGGCGAGTATTGTTAAGATTATTGCTGTTGTTCTTAAAGAACTGGCAAAACTAAAGTTTATTACTCAATGGGCGTTTCTTTCGGCCTTTGTAAATCGCATTTTCCGACGGAAAAGCATATAGAAAGCAATTCCATTAATTTTCCTTCTATGTCGTTCCCACTGCCAAACTCGTTCAAATATTCCTTTCAGAGTGACGGGAACGTAACCACCTGCAGGTCTGCATTCTATAATCCGCCAGTTTCCGCTATGTATCGTGGAGCTCAGGCTAAAGCGAAAGCTAACTTGTAAGCTGATAAAACAATCAGTTTGCCTCAAATGCTCTAGTCGATAGGGCTTTCGAGTGAAGTGGTAATGGCATTGCCCCGGACGACTCTAGAGGTCCGTGTCCGCAACCACACGCCCTGACCCGTCAGCCACTCCAGCCGCCGTCATTAAAAGTGAAAATTATATTTCGAGTTCATAAATTTCTCATGAACCTCTAATGAAATCATGAATTATTATTTACGAGGCTACTCTCCAAAGCTAATTTCATTAAACGAATTCAGCTGAAAAATGACATTTTATCACTTTTCGCTTTACTCTTAGAACTCTAGAATATTTTTATCTTGTTTTCTAGTCAATTCACAGCTTCTCTTCAAAAAAATTAAACAAAAACTTGTGCATATTTTTAAGCTCGGCACTTATCTTAAGCAAATTTCAAGTATTATGTTATTAAAAGATGAAAATAATCATAGCTGGAAAGTGACAAAGAAGCTTGCATTCGCTTTGAATATATATCTTCAATGTTAGAAGCATGTGAGGAATTTGAATAAATTTGCAGAGGATAATCAGCAGAAATATTCCAAGTCTAGGGAGACAGTTCTATTATTCGAGTATAATAACACTTTGTGACAAAATTTGAATTTTTACACAATCAATGATATGTTGTAACATCAAATGTTTAAGAAAGCAGATATTTCTTA